CGGAACAAGTTCCGGAAAAAACTTTGTCATTTTACCTGCGTTTTCCTATATTTAACACAGCCATAAAAACGCGTTTTTGGAAAAACAGCCAAAAAATGCCAAAAATGATTTTCCTAAACAGCTTTGCCGGCCCGTTTCCGGAACAAGATCCGGTAAAAACGCCCTCGCTTTACCTGATTTTGCTATTGTTGAAAGCTTGCGGAATGCTAAAAAAAACAGTTTTTAAAGTATTTTTCTTTTACGTAAAATCTTTATAATGATTTGTTCGTGATTTGGATTTATGAATTGGAAAATTGTTTTTTGGGATGTATGATTTTGTTTTGATTATTGTTTGATTTGTTTTAGCTTATTTTGTCGATTTTGTTTATTTTTTTTCCGCCGACGTCGCCATAATAAATTCATACTATTTTTCAAAAAAACCTTTAAAAATCCAATTTAAAAAAACAAATATTACACACATTTATGTTTTTTTAATAAATTATTATTGACTGAAAATTTCATGATTTGTTTTTTGTGGAAAACAATGAAAAATCATACGTAACAATTTTCATTGAAAAATCATCAGCATTTATGAAAATTACATTATTGTTTTATTATTTTTTTATGATTTTATTACGGCGATGTGGGAGGAAAACAATCTCAAAACACACAAAAAATAAATAAAAAACATAAAATGAACCATATAAAATGTACCGTAAATACTTTTCGAAACCGTTTGTGGCCTTTTAACCGAACAAGGTCCGACAAAAAACATTTAGTTTTTACCCGACTTCTGCTGTTTTTTTGGGGGGCTGATTTTCCAAATAACTTGCGAACTCTACTTTCAGGGCTGTTCGGTTCTGTACCCTCCACCTAAGAACTTTTCCACCACAAAGCAGTTACCACCAGAGGAATCAGGAGACAGTTTGCGCTTCAGCAGGCGACTACAAAGAGCTCTAAGCCCGATGGGCCTGCTGCAGGGAAGACGCCTGCAGAAGTGACCCGGCCTTCAAGGCGGTATTTCTAGGACCTTGATTGCGGGCAGACGTTTTTGTTCTTGCCGCCTACAGGGATATGTGATTAGATCCAATACTTTTTTATGGGCTGTTAGGCCCCCACTCCATACGCGGGGCCGAACCAAAAGTTCGGACCGGTTTTCAAAGTCTTGCAACATGAAAGTTTTCATTGTTTTAGAATACAATGAGCAGTCAGGGTTCAAGCCTTTTTGATTCGTGGAACAATTTCAGCATTTATGGGGCAGGATCGGCAGCACCAAAGCGGGGCCCACAGGTCCACCTAAGAAATTTCCACCTAGAACATGTTTCCACACACTTTTAGCTTCAAGAGGCGATTGCGAAGAGTTCTATGGCTGATAAGCCCGCTGCAATGGAGACGCCTGCTGCAGCTAAGACGGCTCCAGAAGTGACATGACGCAAGGACGTCCGACGGTTTTTCTATGGCTTAGAGGGCAGACTTTTTCCCACCTACAAAAACCGTAATTATTAGATCCAATACGTACGTATGTTTTTTTCGGGCTGTTAGGCCCCCACTCCTCAACGCATGGCCGAACCAAAAGTTCGGACCGGTTTTCAAAGTCTTGCAACATGAAAGTTTTCATTGTTTTAGAATACAATGAGCAGTCAGGTCAAGCCTTTTTGATTCGTGAACAATTTCGGCTTATATGGGGCAGGGTCGGCAGCACCAAAGCGGGGCCCACAGGTCCACCCAAGACATTTCCACCTAGAAGATGTTTCCACCAAAGGACAAGTGTGCAACCATATACTTTTAGCTTCAAGTTGTGATTGCGAAGAGTTCTATGGCTGCCATCAGGATGCAGTGGAGGCGCCTGCTGCAGTGGGTACGGCGCCAGAAGTCACACGGCGCAAGGGTGGCCCACGCGACATTTTTCAGAGCCTAGATTGGGGGCAGACTTTTTTCATTTACAGATAATCATGATTAGACTTATATACTGTAGACCCAATACTTTTTTGGGGCTGTCAGGCCCCCACTCCTCTAAGCATGGCCGAACCAAAAGTTTGGACCGGTTGTGAAAATCTTGGAAGAAAATGGCATGCAATTGGGGTTGCATGCTCAAAGCATAGACAGGCGCCAGCTGAAGAAACAGCGGTTGGCAAGGAGCCAATCGAGGAATGCCAATATCCAGATGTGACTTGGCGCATGGTGCAAGGGTACCGGCAAGCCCCTAATCAAAAGTCAGTGGATATTGTTTCTCCGTGGCTTTCCACCAGATGTTGTCAATGGTTTTCCAAGTTTTCCATCATTTTGTCTGCAGTTTTCCAACAGCGGTTTTCCTTTGTTGTCCACCAATACTTTTCCGTTGTTTTCCACCAAAAGTTTTCCACCAGGGTGTGTCCATGGGTTTCCGCCCAAAATAATGTTGCATGATGTTCCACCGTTTTTTTTCCGTGCCTTTGACAAGGTGTTTCCATGGTTTTCCGCCAATGCTTTTCCATGGTTTTCCAGCGTAGTTTTCCAACAACTTCATTTCCGCAGTTTGCCAAGGAATTTGAATACCCTGAAGTGACTCGGCTCAGTGTGAATTCCCTCCACATAGAATTACACATAGGATTCCACATAAGTTTCCACCAAGATATTTTATATCACCAGTATCGCACAACAAGGGCCCACTTATGGTTGTTATAAATTGCTATAAAGAACACATAGCAGTCATTAATCCTCTGATACATATAGCCTCTGTGCCACCGTACTGCGCTTCACATTTTTGGTCTTTCCAGCAATTGTGTTGAAACATCTCGGTGTCCCGAGGGTCCTTTCCAAGTGAGTCTGGGCGATGAAGAAAGACGCCAGCAATTTCTAGCCAGGTAATTCCACCTATCGGAAAATTTTCACCAGAACGACGCCAAGCTGCCAGGATGTCCCACCCAGGAAACTCCACCTAGGATTTGGTTCCCAACACAAAGAAAAGGAAAGAATTGCCAGCCAGGATGCCCCACCTAGAAACTCCACCTAGGAAATTTCTCTGCAGAAAGAGGCAAGCCAGCAAATCCCTTAAATTCCAAAAAGGGAATTCCAAGAAGGAGCAGGAGCACTGCAAGGAACTTCCACCCAGGAAACTCCACCTAAGTAACTTGCAACCACACAACGGGAAACTAAGGAATTTCCACTCACAAAACTCCACCCAGGTAAGTCTTGCTGAGGAAGAAAAAATCCAGCACTTTCTAGCCAGGTAAGTCCACCTAGGCAATTTTTCCCCAAGACAAAGGAAAGTAAGGAATTGCCAGCCAGGATACCCCACCCAAGAAACTCCACCTAGGAAATTTCTCTGGAGAAAGAGGCAAGCCAGCAAATCCCTTAAATTCCAAAAAGGAATCAAAAAGGGAATTCCAAGAAGGAGCAGGAGCACTGCAAGGAACTTCCACCCAGGAAACTCCACCTAAGTAACTTGCAACCAGACAACGGGAAACTAAGGAATTTCCACTCACAAAACTCCACCCAGGAAAGTCTTGCTGAGGAAGAAAGATTCCAGCAATTTCTAGCCATGTAAGTCCACCTAGGCAATTTATCCCCGAGACATAGGAAAGCAAGGAATTGCCAGCTAGAATACCCCACTCAAGAAGCTCCACCTAGGGCCTAGGGAATTTCTCTGCAGACAGAGGGAAGCCAGCAAATCCCTTAAATTCCAAAGAGGGAATTCCAAGAAGGAGCAGGAGCACTGCAAGGAACTTCCACCCAGGAAACTCCACCTAAGTAACTTGCAACCAGACAACAGGAAACTAAGGAATTTCCACTCACAAAACTCCACCCAGGTAAGTCTTGCTGAGGAAGAAAAAATCCAGCAATTTCTAGCCAGGTAAGTCCACCTAGGCAATTTTTCCCCAAGACAAAGGAAAGCAAGGAATTGCCAGCCAGGATACCCCACCCAAGAAATCCCACCTAGGTTTTTTTTTCCGCGGAAAGCGGGAAACAAGCAACTTCCACCACCACCCGCGAAATTCCACCTAGGGAATTCATCTAGGAATTCCACCCAAGAAGCAAGGAACTTCCACCCAGGAACTCCACCTAGGACATTTCTTGCAAGAAAGAGAGAAGCAAGCAATTTCTAGCCAGGCGCTTCCACCCAGTTCGAATTTTTAATGAAAGGAATTTCCACCAAAGCCAAAATCGTATAGTACCGTACAACCATTTCCATCTGATGATTGTGTAGCAATCCCACAGGCCGCTCTCAATACCATTGTTTTGGGTCTAACTTTAACAACTCGACTCATAGAGTGTTCCAAATCATCAGCACCATATATTTGGACCATTTACCATTTACCTGCATATATTCCCTGTGGTTTGCAATTTTTTAAACATGCGGAGTGGGCCCTACCATTTAAACATACGTACAGAACTGGTATTTCATACTACCTCCGAGCCTGACTGCCCTGGCCCGGCCACCACATATTTAAATGTGATTACCGTATATATATATATATATATATACCATCTGGTTATTTAACATAGCCATGGAAAATCACCATTTTAAATAGGTAAACCCAGGTAAACCATCTATAAATGGGCCATTTTCCATGGCTATGTTAAATAACCAGGCCTAAGATAGCTGGTGTAGCTGGATGCTGATTCCCCCAGTCATATATCATGGTAATGATGATTAATGATTGGCTTTGACCCAACCCCATATGGCAACAAGTTTGGTGCAATGAAGGACTTGATGACTTCAAAAACAGAACATCAGCAGCACAAAAAGCCCCGGAATGGCTTTCGTATTGAACATCAGAAGATTCATCCGCGCACGGAACGAGCAAACCGGCAGATCCTGAAGAATTGTGAGCAACAAACATCCGACCTTTGAAGGGCTACTCGTTGGTTCCCATTCATTCTACTTCAGTGAATCAAGCAGCATTGGTACATCTAGCAAATCACAAACTCATCAAAGCTTCAAGCTCCAGCACTGTGCTCATCTGGCGGAATCATACCCGATTCTTCTCTTTCTCAGGAAGATAGTGGTAGGTTCCAGCCAGATCCACTCGACCAGGAACATAGGTTCCACCCACGTAGCTCGTGAGAAAGGCCGAGTGGTGACGTTTCTTCTCATGTTTCGCCCACTCAGCGGGTGTCCTTAGTGGATGAAAATTTGGAGCCAGTCATGGGAAGGATTTTTTTGAAATTAGGTGAAGGGATTACACATAAATCTTGAATCTTTGATGTCTTTGATTAATCATGGTTAATCACCTCCATGATGTTGTTGAAAGATGTTGAAAGTGGGTGTGCAACAGCAACAGCAAGGTTGGCTTAAGATCCTTCTCAGCATGCTTCTGAAACACATTGAAGCAGTTTGATGTCGCATTGAATGGAGAAGAGTTTGAGAGTTTTCATCAGGTCCACAAGACTCACAAGACCAAAAGCTGAGGGCTTTTTTGAAAAAAACTCCTTTCTTTGAATATTTCTGCATGGTTTCCAAGATATCAAGACATGCCTACAGTAGTACATCACGGTAATTGATACTTGAACTACCATTTATTGGACTCCTAACTGTTGACTCATGGTTGTGCCCCTGGCTGATTGAATTGAAACTGGCAGATGTCTAAAATCTGGCTCGAAACCCTGTTGGTTGGCCAGCCGAGTGGCAAATCACCCCCTGGAAGATTTTTCCAAATGGCAGTGTGTCAAAACCTTGTACCCCTGGTGAACATCAAAATAGCTGGTAAATGGATGTTCATCCCACTAAAAATGGTATTAATAGGTATTGATCCATACCCAAACGATTTTTGAACAATTGCAGGGGCGGGTCACTTCGTCACTCCCATGTGGATCTCAAAAGACTAGCTACCAATAGCTACCAACATTTCCAGGTGCCACCTGGATGCCCAACCCAACGCCCTTCGCCCCAACTGAGCTCGACTCTTTCCCATGCCATTCTTCGAGGCCAGGAGCCTTTCGCAAGTTGCTCGATAAAGCGCATTATGTAGGTGGTAGGATACAATTACCATCTGGTTATTTAACATAGCCATGGAAAATCCCTTATAAATGGAGCTTTTAATGGGAAAATCAACCATTTTCCATGGCTATGTTAAATAACCAGAGGGTAGATGAAAATTAGGGCACCCTAAAATTGGGCTCATCCCAGACTATAATGAAGATTACCACAGATACCACTGCAAATTATCAACATTTGTGTAGCAAAATCTCGAATTTGACGCATCCAATGCCCACACAATGTATGCTTGCCACCACCCTGCGCGCAGATTCGGGCAAGTAACTCGGGATCCGCTTCGATGATCATCCGGAGCATAGCCTGATATTTTGGAGTTTCTGTTGGGCCCTCAGCTCTAGACTTCATGGTCAACAGATAGGGAGTCTGCATGCAATGGCTATTGCAATCCCTCTTAGCACTGAATGTCCATTTCATGGTATGGGTTACTAACACATGACAATGTTGTCAGTATAGCCAATTGGAGTGAACATCCGAAGTAGATGAGCGCATGATTTCAAACCACCAACCAGCAGATATTGCCCTGAAAAACATGTTGTGATTATTTGGGATTTGTACGGTGGAGGGTTGGCTTCCCCAAGATCCTTTTCAAAGTTGGGTCTCCTATTTCAAAATCGATCATTATGTTGAATGGTTTCGTCCTAAAAAAAACTATCAAATTTGTGGTCGTCTCCGTTTCTATCATTTGTTGAGGTCAAAGTTTTCCAAAGATCAAACACTTCTGCGCCCTCCAACCCCTCCAAGCGGCGTGAATTCGCTCCACTCCTCCAGTGTCCACACTGGCTGAAGCCGCAATCTGGGCGGTGGCAACGGGAAAAACAAAAGGATCTAATGTGGTAAAAGCCAATGCCATACCCCTCTCATTTGGGGATGGTTTGGACACGTTTTTCGACCACCCAGAAATCTGGGTTGTCATGAAAAGTATGGTTGCAGCATTGGGTTTACCATTTACGGCTATTTAAAAACTGGAACTCCAAGGTCTTCGCAAGTGAAGTCGTCACCATGCAGGAATGTGGGATATTCAGGGCTGTCGATATTTGTGTTTCAAAATTGATCGAAGAGGAGTGTTAGTTTAGATTCAAGCATACTAGTCTTATTGCTACTATTATCGATATTATCATCTATTCATAGTTCCCCACCTGCCAGGTGAGGGTTGTTAGATTTTATGTCAGTTGCCTGGTCCTCCTCGTCCTCCTCCTTCTCCTCCTCCTCCTCCTCTCGTTGGCCTCCTCGTCCTCCTGCTCAACTGCGACTCGCGATCCACAGTGTCTCTGTCGGACCTCCACCACGACCATCCACGCCCAGTGTTCCCTGCCGGACCTCAACCACGACCATCCACGCCCAGTGTTCCCTGCCGGACCTCAACCACGACCATCCACGCCCAGTGCCCTGCCGGAGTGTTCCCTGCCGGACCTCAACCGCGGGTATCCATGCCAAGTGTTCCCTGCCGGACCTCATGTAGGAAGATATGGGACAAAGAATGTGCAGAAGAAAGTTAGAAAGAATGTCAGAAAGAATGTCAGAAAATATGAGATAAAAAGCCAGAAGATATGCCAGATAGAATGCCAGAAGATATGCCAGAAGATATGTCAGAATATATGAGAAGATGCCAGATAATATGCCAGAAGATATGCCAGATAGAATGCCAGAAGATTTGCCAGATAGAATGCCAGAAAATATGCCAGAAGATATGCCAGATAGATATGCCAGAAGATATGCCAGAAGATATGCCAGAAGATATGCCAGAAGATATGTCAGATAGAATGCCAGAAGATTTGCCAGTAACAAAACGTATAGATGTCATGGTGGGGATAACCCGAAGTAAAGTAATTATTCTATTTTTAGATTATAAATTATATACAATACGCAGGAGGCCCGCTTACCTGACTCATTGCTGCAAACGTTTTTGCCAGGAATTCATCACGCTGCCATGAATGATGGATTGGCGTTGGCAGTGGCAGCGAAGCTCAGCAAGGCTTTTAAGCTGACTGTAATGAGTACAGAAAAATGACTGACCCAAACTTGCCAAGAGCCCAGAAGTAAGCAGTGCTAGTCTTTTACTATCTACTGTATATCTATCTATAGTATTTTTTAAACAGCACTTTAATATACTTTAATTACATCCAGTCAAATATCAAAGTTCTGGATTCCCTTCAAAATCTTCAAACACAAAAACAGCAAAAACTTACACCAGTCAGGCTTGCGCATCCCAAATCGCGACGGCGATTTCTGCTGTCTGTTGAGGCATTGACGTGAAGCACCTCTGCCAGGCAACAAGTCGTGGTGTGCGAAATCCAGCAACGAACCCCAACTGCATATAGGTTATAAATGCGGTGACATTGGGTATCACTAATTATCAAGTCCACCACAATTATTTTAGTGTACTGTAATATTCTCTATAGTGCAGGATATCAGTTCAATACCTTCGTTAAATCCCAGCTGGTGTAGACTCGCATTCTCTAATTTACCTTGCTCCTCTCGAGAAGGTTGGTGGTTGCTTTCTGCGATTGTCTTCTCAAATCAGGGTGGAAGGACAAAAAACAATCAAAATCAATCAAAGCAATAAACCAAGTCAGAATCCTACCCCCATAACATATCATTGAATATTCATGATCTCAGATGTCCCTCAAAATTATTTGGTGGGCTGCAACAGAGAGGGGGGAAAAAAACGTGAAGCCAATTCTACCTAAGGGTGGGGATGACGCCCCCGTTCTCCCAGAATGTCTTCATAACTTACAGGACATCTATATGATTTTGGGGGCCTTCTTGGTGGATCTTGGTGGTTTAATTCAGAAACATTGGAAACACACATTTCACTTTGTTTGTACCGTACATGTCCCTTAATTAGATATGAGTCAGAACCTTTTGTCCAAATATCTTGCTGATGAACATCCATTTACCCATCTATATTGGGTTCGTTAGGGTACCAGGGTTTTGACACATACCCAATTGGCCTTACTTCAGTCACTGACTACCTTCAGGCCCTGATTTCATTTGCCAAGGTGCTGTGTGGCCAATGTTGGGAGATCTGACTTTTAGATCTGCACCAGCCGCAATGAGGAGCCGAATGTCATCAACCTGATGCGCCAATGTTCGAGGTTTCACGCAGATTGTAGGAGGAAACAATGGCAAAGCAAGGAACACCTTGTAATTTGTTGGTTTTATGGGGAAAAATTACGGGAAGCTATGGTTTTTCTCGATTAATACAGGGGGGTGTGGAATTTCCCTTCCAATTCTGTTGCGGCTGTCTCCTGACCAGCAACCTGGTTGCGGAAATGGTTTATCCACATTGAGAGATGGTCGGCTGCAATCTTTACTGGAAATGAACTGAAGCACAACAGTCATTTCAGAAACAATTCAAGGCGGCCTGGTGCTAGTTGCAATCCAAGCAGACTCAAAGATCTCAAAGTACAAAAATGAAGTAGAAAATGTTACTTTCGAAAAAACAAAAAATCCTGTGGCATCTTGCGTGGCTGCGTTCTCGCAGAACGGAAGATCCAACTCACCATACGCCAGAACAGCCGAGCTTAGCAGCTCCGTAACGAAATGTGCTGTGGCAGCACGCAGAAGATATGCATGTTGTATAGACTCTACGGACCTAGACTGATCAGGTGCATTAACAGCTACAGCCCTGTACGGTCATTTCATCACCTTCTCATTCACATCCAGAGACTTACGGATGAGAGAAGGGGTGTAGCTGCGACACATGCAGCTCTTCCAAGAAAAGCAGTTGAGAGGGGAACAATGTGTTCGATTCAATTGTCAACCCAGGATGAATAAACTCAGATCTCAGACTGTTGATTGGGGATTCCCCCCTAAGTATCCCTAAATAGCGATGACATGACTAATTACCAATTACGATTGAGATTGGTGAACACCCTTTTTCATAAATTGGGGTGTTTAGTAATCCTTGGTCCTAGGTTAACGTTACTGCTCAAGCCGTGCACGGCTTGCCAGTTCGCCACTTGGCAAGTCTCTGACTCAGCTCCCTCGGCTGTCGCGCCTTTCCCCAGGATGCTGCTGCCAAGATCGCTGTCATCCCTGCTGCGAAGCCACTGCCCGTTCCTGGGGAATCATCAACAGGGCGGGCACTTGGAAATTCCACAATCCTGGGCCCATCATGGGTACCGGAGGCCAAAATTGTCCCCTGATTCTGTGGTTTAATCTGGGTTTCATTGAAGTTTTACATAGCTCTACAGCCAAAACAATGGGAATAGGACTTCAAAAAATGCCCATTACAAAGAAATTCACATCATACTGGTCACACGCCAGAAAATGAAGCAGACACTAGCGAAGAAAAAACGTGTTTTACAAGAAAACTCATCAAACCATGTGCGCTCCCAAAAAAAAGTGGCGCAAAAATATTGAGAGGCGCAAAAATCAAACTTTGAGTGGCAGCAACAGCACCGCCCGTGCTTGCTGGTTCTGGTGCCCAGTTCAGCCTGGAGAGGGTGTATTGGGATCAATGCCGGACTCCAACATCTTCACAAGGGCCTGAAATGCAGAGATGACACGACATGGATAGTTTGGAGCATTGGATCATTTTGTTGGGATTTAACCATCAACAATTGGGATACAATATGTCTGTAAAATCAACAATCCCGGAATGTGTCTAAAGGAAATTTTGCAGGAAGAAATGTTTGCAAATTTTGAATGTCTATGAAGATTCGACAATCATTGATAGGGTTCTAAGTGAACCATAACAAAATACTGGGATAGAATATGGAATTAATGTAGAAAACCAACTAGAACCATCAAGGGTTCCCCAAAAGAAGCCATTTAGTATGCCATATCGCCCATTGATGCTTTGTCCTTGGTGGTCCTATACTGATGGACTCCTGAACGATTGGATTTATGGGGATAGATCTACAGTCGGCTTGGTGAACCAATATATCACTGGCGGCCACCATTCTAGGGTTTTTTTTGGGATCATGGCGTGTTGCCGTCTTTGATGTGTGGTCTTAAACATACAAATAATGTTTGGACTGGTCAGGAGTGTTTTTGGGGACCCACAGTCCCTTAGTGTCTTGTGTCTTTTGGTGATGTGGGAAGCGCTGACCATCCAGTTCGGGTATATACCACATTGTCGCCAAAAAGGATCCTTAAAAAACGACTCCCGGAATCGTGCAACAAATGAGTAGATTGCCAACAAAACTATATAGGAATTCGCTGTGGACCATGTTCCTACTCAAGGTGTTTTTGATGGTCCTGAATTCTCTGAAGCTGAACTTGAGCAGATGCTCCACTCTCCTTCCAACACTTTGCCCATAGGCAGAGTAGTTCCCCCTTGGTGCGCTACAAGTTGCGCTGGAGACCATCACGGAAACCGCTCAAACGGATGAACAAAGGATCGAACTTCCAAGAATCTGACGAAAGAAAACGAGGTTTTCATACCATTGAGATCAGCCTAGATCAACTTAAAACTGTGGATCAAATGAAATCCCCCTTAAATATATCCAAATATCGTATTGTTGATCGTTTTTATCCCATGATATCCCCAGTTATTAAAACCCGGCCTCATGACCAGGTGAATAGCCGTCCTTGAAACAACTGATGATGGCCTCGGCAGGGGTGGAACATGAACGTGGAAAAAATTGAATGTTTTTGAAACAAAGGAATACCCACAGGAGACATAATGAGTCATATGGAGTGATAGTCCATATTCCTGGACCTGTAACTAGACGTGTGACAGGTCTTTTTTTTTTAAAGGATCACAAAAACTGGTGTGCTTTCTAAAGACTCGACTTCCCGCAAACATGGCCATGCATGTTTTATCCGGATTTATTCTTACTGGTGCTTAGCAGGGAAATGTAGGGAATGGGGGAATGATCTATAATAACTATCTGAATTGGAAACGGGATCGTTAGTGCCCAACTTTTACCACGGCAGCGCGGTATGACTCAAGGGCCCTAAAGCCAAATGTCAACGGGGGCATGTGATCACTTGGCTATACAAAATATACATTAGACAGGTCAAACTCACACTCAACCTGTTCTTCAAGGATCACATGATGCTAGTGAAAAAGTTGGCTCTAAGGCTTCTTCTGTACACGGTAAATGCACTCCTTCAAAACGCGGATGATGAGGTCCGGGCGCATGCTCTTGGTCAGAGCATCCGAGACCATAGTTCCTGTAGCAATCCAGGTAACAATGTCTCCTCCGCCATGATGCATATCCCAGGTCCTCCGGCCGTCTTGCCAAAGTGACTCATGAATTGACTGCAACTCAATGCCGAGTCGTTTGTCTGCGACCCTGCCGAGTACCTCACTCGCAAGATGGTCTGTTAAAGACCTGCAGTCTGAAAGCATCAGTTGTGGAATGCAGCTGCGGCTGTCATCCAACCATGTTTTCATCGAGTCAAGTTGGCCCATCAGCTCAGCCAATGCTCCACGTAGCTTGTCACCGCTCTCTTGTCCAGCCTGCAGTGAATAAGCTTCGCATTGAAGAGTGCTGCGGCATACTCGCCGACTTGTATTTGATGCAAATCCCAATGGCATCACCCTGTAGGATGTAGTCTTGGGGTCTTTGATCTCATTGATGTCTCCAAGAAAATGGAAACGTCCTTGTTGTGATTTGTAGTTCTTCTCGTTTGAAAATGAAGCATCTGTTACTGTAATGATACCAACCTCTCCCCAGGTTAGATGTCCACCTGGAAAAATGAGCTTGTTCTCAATGCCTTGTTGTGCCAGCTGTACTACGGCATTTGCGTCGTGCAAAATAGCAACTGTCGCTCCAGAAATACTGGACTGTAGGCGGCTCACACGATAACCCAAATCGGGTCTAGTCTGTCTTGCCACCCATGCCAATGATCCCGTTACAGATCGTAATCGGGTCACATCATCCTTACCCAACGGCTCGGACGCTGATCTTCCTGGCGCGATCTTGATCGGCTTGATGCGACGGGTGTTGTCGCAAGTGTCTTGAGTGATTGTTCCATCTGCAGTACGCTCAAATTGCTTGCCACAATAGCGAAACGAATTTGATTCACTAGATCCCAAGTTGAACTTCTCCAAGAAGCTGTCGATCACTGACTTCCCTCAGGAATGTATGCGTACAAGATGTCATCCACATGAGTCGCCATAAGTGCAACGCAATCATTGTCGGTTCCTGGAAGAAAATACAATCCTGGGTAAAACTTGGATTGTTTCAAGCCACTGGATCGGGCATCTCCGTCCAGCCTCAACCAAAAACCTCTACCGCTGTCAGTTAATCCATACACAGGCACTCTCACAAGGAAAAACACCTCTGGATCAACTCCCGGGAGACCTCTTCGGGGTTGTCTCATAATGAGGACTCTGTCGAGAGGACGACCTTGAAAATACGCGGATGCGACGTCCGCACTGTGCAATTGTGCACCCTGGATCGCCGCCCAACAGCAAAGTATGTTGTGAGCTTCCGTGTCTGCTGTAGGACTGTCTGATCTCAAACCTTCACTGACTTCGAAATTGCCGCACGACACCAACCGGCTTTTGAACTTTGGTACATATTCTTGGTCTGTTCTTCCCTTCATAAATTGATTCTTATCAACATCAACCCACTTGCTAGGAATACATTGATGTCCTTCAGCGATCAACCTCTCAGCATCTTCTTTTGAAATTTCTACAACAGCAGCGAACTCAAGGAACTTGTTCCACTCCTTGGTTCTAGCATCCATGATGTTCTTCTGTACATCAGGTGGCGCTGATTCATAGTGGATTTATTTCAACACTTTCTTACCTACCTCTTCGTCCTCAGGAACTCCAACTTCCTGGGACAGAAATGATGCAAACAATGCTCGTGCTTCTTGTTGTTCTTCAGGACTTCGTTCTGAGTCTCTCTCACGAGCTCTTTCAAGATGTGTTCGCAATTGATGTGGTAAGTCATCCAAAAGTTCCCTTCGCAATGGCCAAGATGACGCTGACGATGAAGCTAATGCACCTGAAACGGAACCACTAAAAGGTGGCGCCCCCGAAACGGAGCCACTTGGAGTAAGATCAGGCACAAAGGAGTCTCTTCGAGATGGCACAAGTGATGAGCCTCTCTCCGACTCAGGTTGTAGCTGAGACTCTACTCGAGGTCTCACGTTGCGTTCATGATCTTCATCTCCTGGGCGTGGTCTTTCAACTCTTCTTTCTGGAGTTCTACTTTGCGAAAAGATGTCTTCTTCCATAGGACCAGTGTCTTCCTCCTCTTCACCTTCTTCAAAGAAACCGGGTCGTATGTCCCATTCATCTTCAGGTACTTCTGGTATAGGAGGAAGTGCTGAATCCACATTGCCTTCAGGGACAACTTCAACATCGTCTGCTTGTCCTGGACCTTCACGAACAACTTCAACCTCATCTGCTTGCCTTGCATCAAGAAATGCTTGTTGACCTGTATCGGTGATGATCTTGTATGGAATCACAGGTTCACCATTCAACACTGATTGAGCAAGAGCCTCAGAAGGAGAAGCAATGCGTATGTTGTGAGAAGCTACAAGTACTGGAACGTTACCACATAGTAACCATATGTTCTTCTGGTTCTCGTGTCCGATCACACGACATGTTGGTGACCAGGACGTTCCTCCTCGCTGATTGTCTCGTCTGAAAGTGACGAGATCACCAATGTTGAACTCACGGTCAAACACACTGGCATTGCGTGTCAACGCTCTCTGAACTCTTCTTGAACAATCAAGATGAACAAATGCCTTTTGTGCCTCAATCCTGGCCAAATGTTGCAATGCAAAAATTGATGAAGGATCATGTCGGGCCTGAATGGCTCCGAGCTGTGCATGGTCTTCCTCAGACATGAGTGAAGCTACACCACGGGGAGCTCGACCAAGTACCCACTGGGATGGAGAAAAACCTCCAACACGCGCAGAGTCGTTCTTCACACCAAGCACTTGTGTGATGCACGACTCAACCTGTTCTTTGGTACAAGCCCCAACTTCTGTACACACTCGTCTGAAAAGAGCTTTCAACAAACCACCATGCCTCTCTACTCGGCCCAATGATTCCGGGCTCTCAAGGGGCACATGGTGCACTTGAATGTTGTGTTCATCCATGTATTGTTGCAAGACACCACGATTGTGCAATCCACGGTCACACATGATAGCAACAGGATGTCCTGCCCAACTGAACCAACGTTTAATAAGTGCGTCCAAACAGGATCGCGAAGAAGCTTGACCTGTTCCAACCTTCACGACTTCAGCCTGTTGAAAACAAGTGCCAATGCAAACCATGTTGAGAACTTGATACTTCTGCCCAGTTACATCTGTCAACTCCAGTACATCAATCCCCAAAGTGTGGTTGAATGTATAATCACTTGGAAGCGTGACCTTGTGAGTGGGTTTCTTGGCTGATGTTTTCTCACATGTTTCACATCTATGCAATTTCACTGCATCAACAAACTCCTTGCTCACCTTTGCAGCACGCACCAAATTGACCATCACCGACTTGGGGACGTGTCCAAAAGCCCTGTCCAACCTACGCACAGCAATCCTGACACGCTGGGGAAGTTTACGCCAAGACCTACGTCTTTCTGATTCATCCTCTGGCAAACCAGGGATATCAACATCATCTAAAAGGGTCTCTTCTTGGGTCAGGTCCTCAACAGGATCCTGCAATGCAACATCTTCTGGGCCATCGACTGCATCCCAGTTCCCACCATGTTCCTGTGCCTCTTCAATGATCTCTGCTGGGAAAGCGACGCTCATCTGATCCTCCAGTTCACGCTCGAGTGACCAGTCACGAATCCATTGACAAAACTCCCAATTCAAAACGTCATCCAATTGTCGATACATAGACCAATTCTGAAAACCTTGAATGAGTTCATCATCGTTTGACACAAAAGCAAGACCAACTTCGTTGATATATGGAATCTGTGGTGTTTTGAATGATTCCCATCGTTCAGTGTGTGCGACATCAACAATGAGAAACCTACACCCTGTGGCATCACAATACTGTTCCAACTCAAATACAAGATCCCCATGACACAGTGGATAATGTTCTGACTTGTACTCAATTGCAACAATGATCAATGTGCAACCCTCGAACATGTCACTCCAACCACGTGGCTCAGCATCACCGTCCAAATACGCGGCATTCACGCCGACGTCATAGGTGTGTTCGAAAAGATCCTGGAAAAGAGTCGGGTGTGACGTGATGACTGCAACCCCTGAAGTTCCATTGGAAATTTGAGGCTGCATCCCAAGACTGGATTGCATCACACGATCATGGTTGTTGAGATTGTTGATACCTTCCAATACCATCTTCCTGTGTTTCTTGCTCATAGTCCTCCTCTCATCAGGATGGACTGTCAAATCAACGTTGGAATCAAAACGCACGGCCATGAAACCAGTGGGAGAATACTCATAGTCATATTATGTCATATTCATAAGAATCGGAATCATCCTGTTCCAACTTGGGCGTCAAGACCTTTGGCTGGGGCTTCGACTTCACTGCATACATTCTTTTGGGTTCTGAGGATTTCATGTCAACATTTGGATTCAAAGACTTTTCAAAATCATCCCTTATATCCCGCAGTTTCTTGTTGGGGGTCAACTTGACACGAACGCCCATGTATGCTCCCCTCCCGGAGTCATCGAACACCCCAGGTGGGTGGTGAAACACAATCACATCGATCCACGAGTTGTCCAAACGTACCATTGCTTTGCTGTCAACGTTGTCTTCAATGAGTTCCCAGTTGCCTCCATTGCGAGGTCTGCACCACGTAGATCGCTTCCAGTGCTTGATGCCATTCGAGACCTTGATAATCCGATTGGGCCGGATATGATCTCGAATCAGGACGTTCATTCGAACTCCTTCCACCAGTGGATCTTCGCCATCTTTGCAAATCCAAAAGAGCCGATCCCTGTTACCCTCACGGATGCAAAAAGACACAACTTCGCTAAGGAGCTCACCGTCCAATGTTGTCACCGACACGTTCTTGTTGTCAAACGGTCCATCTGATGCCAAATTGTTTCGGATCAGTCGCTCAAGCTCATCGCGATCATTGGGAGGTTCTCGAGATCGTTGTGGCAACGTTGATCGGGGTCCGTCATCGGCCCCTCGGGGTCCGTCATCGGCCCCTGGTACATCTGAGATATGTGGAGGTGGGTGATCTGGACTCCTTGGGGCAGGTCTCGAAGAAATTGGCCTTGATGGAGCTGGTCTCGAGGTTGGGCTTCGATCTCTTCCCAAGCTCCTTCCCCTGGATGCTTGTGCATGTCTCCAAGGCGGCAGCTTGCGGTTGAAGCTCGGGGATCTCCTGCGCCTTGGGGGTGATGGTGGCGTCGGCAATCTTCTTCGGCGCAAAGGGCTCCTTGATCTTCGTCCTGTTTCAGCCATCCTTTTGATCTCAACCTGTTCTGTCCGAAGATGTCCAACGTCAGTTGCAAGCCCTTGTACCAAACGTTCAAGTTGATCTGATGTAGGATGACCTGCAGTGGGATGATCTGATGTAGGATGAGATGAATGTTCACCTGAAGCATCATCGGCTGGAGCGTCACTGCCTCGTGATCGTGCCAACCTTGACATGTTCGGGATCAAATGTCGAATTTGTCCCAAGCTCGCAGCCATGTCTTGACAACCATGGCAAACACCACCACAACGCATCTCGCCCCACTTCCAGGATGATGCATGAATGAGAACAACGTCGTAACCAAGGACTTTGAGACACCTGAAGGCAGCAAATCCTTGTCCCACTGACCTGTGGCGGCCTGACTTGCACTCTAGGTCCACCAACACTTTGCTGTCAGCCTCCTGCTGAGTGACGAACTCCAGGATGTTGTTGAGATGTTGGATGAACCTGTCCACCTTGCTCAGCGTCTCAAGGATTCCATGATGCCAACCCACATGCGACCTAAGGTTTACGTCCTGATCAGGATCGTAAATGTCCTCACAGTTGATGCTCAAAGTGTTCCTGCTAGTTCTGCACGCATGTTGTTGAAATCTACGTCCACGAGTCATGATGATCACCTTCATGTCACTGCGCAGTTCCTCATTCAACTTCGTCTGCAAGATGTCATAGTCCCTCGAATGAAAACCACACATGTCATGGTCGGCCATGGCAACTTCCGATGTGGATGCTGTGTATGCAATGTTGTACTTTCTGTGACACTTTGGGATTTGGGGAAGTTCATTTGGCGGTGTGTTGTTGATGTTGGTCAACCCTTCAGTCAAGTTCATCACAAGTAAACCTGATTTTGAACACCTCTTGATATTCAATGGTTGATCTTTGATGGAAACCACTCCTTTTGCTAGGTCCTTCACTAGGCCTAATTTGGTTTTGCGCATGCAATGAAAGAAGCAATGGACTGTTGCCTGTTGACAATTGATATGAATCCAACTCCCCATTCATGTTCCCGTCTGGAAGCAGCAGCGAAAAAGGAATAGATCTCACACCTTCGGTCTTGGTACTACCACTTCCCAGACCAGCAAAACTCTTACAACCGTCATCCTTCAATGGCATGCTGTAACCCAATCGGGCCAGTCGTGCTTCTGCATCGACTGCCCAGGCTTTGCTATGACAAGTGCTGTTGCAACCTTCATCCAACACTGCAAAGACATGAGATGACCTGGCAATGTCAATCGTTTCAAAATTCATGTAAACCAAATCTTGGGGGTATTGAATGTCACTTCCATGCAAACAAACGCCAACGTACCCAGCTAACTCCCTGCCCGAGGGGTCGCCGTGCCCATCTTCATTGACAAGAGAAAAACTGTCCTCTTCCTCTGTCACGTCATTGATGGCTTGATGGAGTAGTTCATGTAGACGTGCACGGGTCATGACCTCAGATTGACAGGTTTCGGTAACAAGAATGGCAAACAGGGGCAACAACTCTTCCAACTGGACTGGATTCAATCCATCCGATTCTTCAACCAATGATTCAACAATGGGGACTGCTCGAACTGATGCTGTTTCAACCTTCTTGGCAATTGCAACACGCTCCTTACGAATCTGCATAGGAGCTTCATCAATGAACGTGCAACACTTCTTGCAGAAAGTACGGTGTGTTGATTTGCTGGATCCCCGAACAAGACGTTTCGGAATGACCGCACACAAGACAGGTCTTCCTGATGGTGTACCCCGTAGAACCTTGTTTTGTAAACTCACGACATTCCTGACACTTGTTCGGCAAAGGTGGATTTGGGGGTTTTCTCCTGCCAGTCTCCCGAGTCACCAACAAATCTCGGTGCTCGACATGCTCAACAAGGACTTCGCGCAAATGAATCCCATCAGCACCAACCACAAAGTACTTGTCGACCCAATTCAACCATGTGACATAATATGGACTCTTGGGGGTATGTTTCTTGGCATGGTGATAATACCCTGTCTGTTCAAACAACACATTCCAAAAAGACAAACCCTTGAACTGTCCAACAGGAAAGATGCACCCATGGTCCTCGGGTCTCATTGTAACATCGAGATCCCGGGAAATCAAGCCAACGTTGCTGCTGGATGCTGCTGCACGCGAAGGTCTGCTGCTAGGCTTCGCTTGTCGAACTGCCATCATAGCAACTGCATCTCTGTCACGGTCAGGTGAAGCCGTCAAAGTCACACCATCTTCATCCGAAGAATCACTCATGTCGGCAAAGTGAGCTGCGGGCTTTGGGGCTGGCTTTCCAGGGGCTCCGGATTTGGACCCCGGGAATTTACATTCCGGGTCACCGGCCCAGTGCCCTATGGTGCCGCATCTCAAACATTTGCTCTTTGACTTCAGCTCTGTGAGCTTCTGTCTCCTCTGATCGATCGTGAGGTTGGACTTCACGATCTTTCCTTTCCCCTTTCCTTTGGGCTTCCCGAAGGATTTGCCCTTGCCACCTGCTTTCCCCATTGCGGTGAAAGCAGCAAGTTGTAGCTGGATGGCGTCTCCTGCTTGTCAATCGTCTTCTGCACCTTCAAGCTCAAGCAAGCTGTTCAATGCAACTGCTTCGTACTCATCGACATCGTCAAAGTAATCAAATTCGTTGTCACCTTCTAGGTTTCCTGGCTCCTCTTCTGCAATGTCACCAAGCATACCAACATATGAATCATCCTCCCAGGATTGATTCGCAGTTTCATCCCAAGATTCTGCATGATCCTCCCCATCATCGGGGTAGGCTGCATAAGCTGCTTGGGAATACGATCCCTTCGAAGAAGGCTTGCCTTTGCCATAACCCTTGCCTGTTGATTTGCCAAGCTGTTGAGGATTACCACGTCCTGTCCAGGATCGTGACCCTTCTCGCAAGTGAGTACCACTGTAGTTCTCGATCAGCACCTTGCCAACACCTTCAAAATCCTTAGTGTCTGCACAGGCCTTCACAACGAGGATCTCTTGTCGATTGAGTCCACTCAACTCCAACATCAACTCTGTCCTCAAGCTGTCTGAAAACACCATTGTGTCATCCAACTCGCAAAGCATGTGCCACCAACGTCGTCTCCTCTGAACATAGGAAAGCATGGGTTCGCCTGGCTGGCGAGACAAAGGTCCACCTTGCTTCTGTCCTGCACGAAAAAGTTCCTTTGCTTCCTCACGAGCTCTTGGAAACACATGGGATCTGATCTCACCCACAAGTTTCACTAAGCCACCAGGTTCGGACAACACTTCAAGTCCAAGATCCCTAGCTATTGAGAAAGCATCTCCTCTCAGTCCTTCAATCACCTTGTTGACCAATGGTCCACGATCAACATCTGTCTTCTGCTTGCCGGACTTCGAGGATTTCCGGCTCGCTCCAGACTTCGGAGTCGAGACCGCTGATGTAGGCTGGGTTGCTTGAGTTGCACCCGACAAATCTGGAAAAGTAGCATACTCATCTGCGTCTTCTGCGGCAGGCTCTGTTGCTGTGGTCCCAACGGGATCCGCAGACTTACTTATCTCCTCCAGTTGTTGCTCATAAAGACGAATCCGAAGGAGTGTCCTGAACTGCCAATCATGAAAGTTTGCCGCATCACCTGCATAGATGTATGATCCACTCTTCGTCTCAAGTGGTGCCGACGAATGGCGCTCCTGGCTGAAACGAAGGCCATTGATCGACATGATGCTCGCTCCGTTCGGAGTCGAACAAGGAAAAACGTTAACAAGTGCCTGCCCTGGTCAGGGTCAGACAGATTCCCGAACCACGACACACTCGAAGTTCAGTTGATTCCCAAAGTTACCAGACTCAAATTCACAAAGGGGTCCCTGGGTCACTGACGTACCACCGGATGCGGGTCGTCACCCGCTCCGCTACCAATCTGAATTGGAAACGGGATCGTTAGTGCCCAACTTTTACCACGGCAGCGCGGTATGGCTCAAGGGCCCTAAAGCCAAATGTCAACGGGGGCATGTGATCACTTGGCTATACAAAATATACATTAGACAGGTCAAACTCACAACTATTATATATATATATTATATAATTCCCCCATTCCCTACTAGGCACCAGTGAGTATTTAGTCATCATTCTCCACCAAGCAAATCCAGGTGCCCTACTGGATCTGGGTGTCGCGGGATACTTTTGGTCTTCTCTGCACGTTTCAAATGGGCTTCGAAGTCGTGCCTCAGAAGCTGGGCTTTCCCCTGGACTGCAGGAGCGGTTCAAGGGAAAACTTAGAACGAAGAAAACCACAAATTTTGATTTCAATGGATTGGATTAAGGGAAAATTTACAGGAAAGCCCCATATTTAATGGGAAAATCTATGGTTTCCTGTAAATTTTCCCTGAAACCAATCCATTGATGATTGAAAAAACACTGAACGTGGCAACATCATGTAGATTTGCCTTTGATGCAACAGAATACACCCGTTCAGAACCGTTCGATCCTGGAGCCTGCGGAGCACAGCCTCACAGGAATTGGCATGTCCATCGCTTCCGGATACCCCAACCGCTGACTAATTTATATATATATAATATCACTTAGGGTTTGAGGGTCCCCGGTTATGTTCTATATAGCTTTGCTATAGGCTATGGTCATATTTTGTCTGAAACCGGGGTCTCCAAAAATGATTACCACAATTGTCCGCACACAAACTACAATTTGGCGAGTAATTATCTGATACTAGTATATATCATCTGTTGTATCTTTGGACTAAGTCATATTTTGGTATCACATGGACCTGGCGCAAGGGGTGACAGCAATACCACTTTCAGCCAAGAGGCAATTGCAACTGCAGGTCGCGATGTGTGGCTTCCTTTGGTATGACGCAGCCATGGTTTGTGAGTTCCTGGCATCAGAATGACATGTTCATTGTTCATGGACCCACCATGAGGAGCTCCTTATTTATTGGCTCGTCTAAACCCGCACGTACGGTACGAGTAGGGTTCTGGTCATCCCTTTAACTCCTGAGGGACAAAAAGAAACGATTGATGCACCACCAAAAAACAATTAAAGGACCGGATAACCCCACAAGTCAACTTCTTCCAATAAGCAGAAACAAAAGTTGTAGCGGGACGGGGAAGGCAGGAAAGTGATAAAGTTGTGTGTGTGTGCGTGTGTGACAGGGAGGCGGCGGAGAGGGAGGAGGAGGAGGACGACGAGGAGCGGGATACAGAATCAAAAACAAGAACCCCACACAAAGATGTGGGGAACTGTTGTTTTCCTGTGTTTTTCAAAAATCCATATCTCAGATTTCCCTAAAATTCGAGTGATTCTCCAACCCCCCAAGTCGCTCTCCTGCTTCACTTCTGCCGGATCCCGCGGTGGCAGCATGGCCGCGGCCGCCGAGGGCAGCACAGCCGCCGGGTTCGCCGCGGGGTTCATCCGGCCGCTGCTTGTTACAGCGCGCGGCCGCGCCCCGCGGCCCATGGGCCCCGGCACGGCCGGGGCGGTGGGCAGCGGCACAGCGGCGGGAAGAAGGCCGGGCGGAAGAAGGCCCGGACGGGGGAACCTTGAGGTGGAGATGCAGTTTGGGGAGTTGGGAATGGAATATCTAACATCACACTGGGACCTCAAAGTGTGGCATTGTGGACTGAGTGGTGTTTGTTTGGATGTTTATTCTTGACAAATGCGCAAGTGATAAGGGTCAGCGCAAGTTGACACGGAAGCGAAATCAAGAAGAAGTCTTGGAATCAAAGAATTGAAGCGCATGCAAACCGTCACGCATCATTCAGTAGGGACATACAGTTTTCTTTACCCTAGCTGAATCTACTGGTGGGAATAAACGGGATGGGAAAAGCCAGAACAAAACATGCAGTGGGATTCTTGCAACAAACCGCTTGCTTTTATCATAAGTTCCTTATGTTTGGGTCTAAGGATATCTATAGTAGCCTCAAACAAGAAAGAACTTTAACCTATCAAATAGCTATCATTGTTTTAGTGGGATTTTAGCGACCACAAGACATGGCACTATTGGACCACCTCTATCTGAGAAAGTCTGCCAAAGCTGTTTGACAAAGTGGCGCTGCCACAGCGGCCGCAAAGGACTGGGCGGTGACGGCGTTGGCAAAGGGCATCTCCAAACGAGGTCTGCGTGGCTGTCTCTGGAGGGACATCTGGAGATGCTAAAGATGGTAATTTTTTATTTTTGAACCATCCAATTTCTGGGGAACATGATTTTGAAACCTACCCACAATTCTTACCAAGACATATTTTTGTCATATATGACATAATATGTCGAGGCTTGCAGACCTCCAGAATAATCTCAAAATGGATCCATGGAATTTGGCCGTAGTCGGTTTGGGACATATCCAATCACGACAAACTCCCGCTGATGACGGGATGGCGCGTTCAGCAAGATTTCGAGAAGGAAGACTTCATGACGTGAGCTTCACAACAGGAAGGCAATGAGATGACATACATCATATTACATTATAAGTCCTTGCCTAGTTGACTTGTTTGTAGAAGCATTCAATTGCGATCAATCATACAAACCACATCAAACCACTGTCCTTCAGCATAGGTGAAATGCTGTCTTCAAAACTCACAAATTATCGGCATGTTTATGTGCCTGGTTGAAGTGTCTCTCACTCAGGGTCCCAAAAAGCATGGCTGGCTGATTGTGGGTTACCCCTAAACCTCAGAAAAATCAAAAAACAATCTCGAGTTGGTACCCTTAATCGCAACTTCCAACAGCAAACTCATCTTTCAACCACCATCTTTTGAGGGGCTAGGTCTCAGGAGTGTCCTCCAACATAGGGATATGCTTAAATGATACCATAAGAATTACGGGCTACCCGGGTTTACCCCATGGTGAACAATGATGTGGCTTCGTCCAAGAATAAACCCCAAAATCCATTGGTCAAACCTGGGAATCTCCCATGATATGAACATCAGATGTGTAACCTCTGCGATGTTCATCGATGTTCACATTAAACAAATTAAACCTCCAATTCGAGCGGATTTCCGAGGCCATATTTGATGATTTTAAGATTGCCTCAGGGTATCTATGGGTATCTCTCGCAAATCTCCCGATTTCTGAACAACTCCATATGTCCTCAACAGCCACCGCAGGCCTTTTGGCTGCCGAACCTCCCTGTTGCTGTTGGGGCCGGCCGGCCATCATCCGTACAGCGGCGGGGAGGTTCGACATGACCTGAGTCCACGCTCGCCATGGCTGATGATGGATGGAGGCTGGGGGATGGTGGATTTATGGAAGGTGATTAGCAACTGCATTATATCATATCCGTCATAACCAACCAACCCACTGTGTACTGGGACATTGCTGAGTTTCTCAGGGTTGAAAATTCAGGGACCATCCAGTGGCGTTCCACTCTTTCAGAATCTTACTGGCAAAATCTGGGAAAGACAATTACAAAGTACGTACACTATCCTGCAAACAGTCGGCTTTCTGCAGCTACACTCAGTGAATCCACACCCTTGGATGCCGGGCCCGATGCAACGATGGTCACGAAAAATGGCCGAAGTCTCACTTGCAAGGTCAGAAGTCGGTGGTTTTTTGAGGCTTTTTTGATCGCTGGATCGTTGGATCGCCGGTGGCGAAGTACCAAGGTGTCTCGTTGATCTGCTGATCTTTTCCGGTCTGGGAATTCACAAGGTTCAACATGGCTCCTGCTCTGCTCTTTTCCGGGCTAGAGATCTTGCTGTCTGTTGTGGCTCAACCCACAGGTGCTGAGCCGCGGCGTGCAAGGCTTGGTGGTAGTTTCAAGCCCATATGCTGATATTGACTCAGAACACGTAAGTTTGATGCATACATATACATTACATATTATACATTACATATATATATACCATCTGGTTATTTAACATAGCCATGGAAAATCCCTTATACTGTAAATGGAGGTGTTAATGGGAAAATCATCTATAAATGGGCCATTTTCCATGGCTATGTTAAATAACCAGAGGGTATATATATATACGTATATACATATTGGCAACCAATTGGGCCCATTTCATCAATCCAGAAAACCACGGAGGACCACGGCAAGTGACCTAATAAAGCACAAATTTGTCCGACCACCACTCTACCCTTCTTGGCTGGCTCTTGGGTTGCTGGAGAATGTGTGAGTGTAGTTGATGGATTTGTCAAATGAAATCCATCCAAAATCTTTTTGGTGAAACTTCGAATACCTTAGGCTTTGGCATTCAAACTCCAAGTCAGTCACTTGAGTCATCCCAAACAAAGTCCGTCCACGCCATCAGGGGAGACCCAAAAAACAAGCACAGCTGGCAGTGACGATGGCCCAGGCGTCTGATGGTTCGGTCAACCTGGGAGAATGGTAGCTGCTCAAATTGCCCCATTTATTATAATATATATATATATTTACTTATATACATTATTCATTATTATACAGTATTATATTCTTGCATATAAAAATATATAAATATCATGTATATACTTATATACATTGTTATACAGTATTTTAATAATACATATATATATAATCATATGTACATATATCATATCATATCATATATACATACATATATCGTGTATATATATATATCATATATATAATTATATATACATTACTATACAGTAAATTATTATTACATATATATATATATATATATATCATATAATTATATACATTATTATAGAGTATTATATTATTTTAAATATAAAATATGTATGAATATACATAATTATACAGTATTATATTTTTACACATACATATATATATATGATACATATATATATATATATACATTATATATATATATCATACATATATATCATATATATATATCATATATATATATATATATCATATATCATATATATATATCATGTATATATATATATATATACACATTGTTATACTGAATCTTATCATTACATCCATATATATATATATATCATATATACAATTATCAAGATTATTATACAATAAATTACTATATATATATATCATTTAAAATAAGTATATACATTGTAGTACCGTATTATATTATTACAAATATATATATATATATATATCATGTTTTGTAATTATAAACATTATACAGTATTACATTTTTGCATATATATATATATCTATCTATCTATCTATCTATCATATCTATAATTATATACATTTTTCTACTGTATTAAATTACTACATATATATATATATATATATATCATATCTATAATTATATACCGTCATGTACAGTATTATATTATTACATGTATATATGTATGTCATATCTATCATTAAATAAGATATTTATATGCGCAATATATATATATATATATCATGTTATATATATTGCATATATTACATGAATATATATATATATATATACATACATATACATATAATTATATATATCATTATACATTACATATATATAATATATTACATATATATATATACATATTACATATATATAATTATATATAATTATATAATTTATAATTATATATAATTACACAGTTTTATATTATTACATAGTAAATATATATAACATATGTTATATATATATATATTACATATGTTACATATATATATATATGCGTGTGTGTTACATATATGTACTGTATATATATATATACATATTACATATATATATATATTACATATATATATATATTACATATATATGTATGTATTACGTGTATATATATATATATATGTATGTATATGTATATACATGCAATATATATATATATAACATGTATATATAGGGAATATAATGAATCTAATGGGCATATGTATTTACATAATTTACATGTGTATATTGTTATATATTGAGAAATTCATATCTCTAGAGTTAGAAAAGGAGTACAACATTTGGTCGGTTTATGGCGATGTATAGGGTCTGATTTCTCTTGCATTTCCTACTCCAGGCACATTTTCGCATCATCAGCGAATGAGTTCTATATAGCGTTCTCCATTCTCCGGAACGAAGCTTTCACACAAAAGTGGCGGAGACGGGCTGGAGGTTTCCTGCAGATTTTCCATCCACCCCATTGAATCCTAGCGTTCCTAACTTCACGAAGTTCATGATTTTCGCTGGGCTCCCGGACGACCAGGAGACGTCAAAACCCTTGTTGGTGAGGGCAGTCAAAGCCTGTTGCCGGCACTCTGCTGATTGCACTGTGTCTGGAGACCATTGGATTTCATGAACCTGGAACAAGACCCCCCGTTTCACCCGCTGTTGTGAGTTGGGTGTCCCAAAGGATCTCCTGGCTTCATGTTCATCCGGCAGTCGTTTCAAAGGTTGTTGTGTTTGTCTTTGCCAGGGGCATGGTTCATCATTCACCAGAACTTGTGGATACAGGACCTCAAAACGCTTCCAAAAATGGCACGTGTCCATCATGAAGGCGTTTCCATCCAGTCCTAACCAAAGTGTTAAAGAGCCGCAAAATCGGATGGCCAGTGGCGACCCCCAAGGCTTCAGTTGATTTATAAATTATTCGATACATCTACCATAAGTCTACCGTGCATCATCGATTATCATCATATATTTAAGCCTACTTAGGCCCTACCTAGAACCCAACTTGGCAAACAACCCAGGACCCCAGAATCGCTGGTGGACCCCTTACGTGCCTCCTCTTTGGGGATCTGCTGATCTTGGATCACCGCCACCTGCTGATGTGGTAGAGATGATGACCTTCCACAAGAAAAACAATGGAAACTAACATCATGTACCATTGCCATAGAAAATCCATGTTTAGTGGGGATGAAATCCAGAAAACCATAGAAAGTCAAGCCATTCCTTTTTCGGAAGATATTGTTTTAGTAGATATGATGGGATATGAACTCTAATAGATATGATTCCTTTTTAGCGAGGATGAAACCCACGTAGGAAAATCGATGAACATATCATTGCAAATGTCTGTCAACGAGCAGACCCGCACTCCCAGAAGAGGTGTCTTTATTCGACTGGCAGAATGTGACCGTGGTGAGGTTTGTCCCAAAATCGAAGGACCATGCGAAAACATGCCAAGCCTACCCTCCGGTGATTTAACATAGCTATTGAAAATGGCACATTTATAGTTGATTTACCTAATTAGTAAAAATGGTAATTTTCCATAATAGCTATGTTAGTTTACCAGAGGGTATCTATTTCACTGCAGAAATCACCCTTGCTTTGGGACGCCAGGCACAAGCACCCGGTGCATCCCTGTGCCTTCTGGCCGCTTGCGAAGCACCGCACGGCGCCCCGCGCATGCCAGGCGGCTCGTGAGGGTGTAGCCTGTGAAAGAATCAGAGACCTGGGTATTGTACATATCTTCGATAAAATAGGTTGAAAGCAACTTAATCACTGTCAAATGCATTCAAAACTATTCTATTCACTGGTATGATTAAATAGTGAAAGCCCAGAAGGCTTGCACGCATTTTCCCATAAATCGTTCTTCTTCCACCAACGCCTTAAAATCCTAGAAATATGATGGCATCCTACGATCATATCCCCATTGTATCCCATTCTACTCCCAAAATTTCATACCCAATCTCACTGCAAGGCGGAGCCAAAAAGGGTGATGGTGGAATCCTCAACATGCCCAACAATTCTGTGGGCTACGCTGTTTTCGATTCTGACCCATAGCCCTTTAAAGGTGGTTAGTGATATCCCCAGCGGGTATAGATGTTCACTTCTGATGGACCCATCAAGAACGAGTGCAGTATCATGGACTCATGCCCCAAGAAGATAAACTAACGGAACCAAGACACGGAGATAGAAATAGCTATTTGCAGGGAAAATAATGGACGATAAAAATTGAGAAAACCAACGTTTTTCTCAACAACAAATCCGTCAAATCATGTCAAATCCATACCCTCATGATTTTGATCCATATATCATATGTTTCTGATCCATGCCCAAAGGCCCATGGTGAACCGCGTCAATACATGGTCGCTAGTGGTCCATGGACCATTCGGAAGTTCTCAAAATCGGGGTATACACCCCAAAATTGGATGGGTTAGTACTTCAAGTTACAATTTGGGTATATGATAAAGGGGAATATGGTATGATACCCAATATATTGCTGGTTAATTTCCCCTATATATCCCCTATGATTCAATTAGGGGTACCCTCATCTTAAGCAATACCCCTGTCCCAACCTGGGTGAAGCATCGACCCACCTCACAAAGATTTCACGTGGAAGGTCAATCAAAATATAGATTATGGGTGTGTCCAAAAGTAGGGAATCCTATATGGCGGATACCCCCAGGGGCTCCAAAATTGAAATTGCCATTTGAATATGTATTGGATTATAATACAGTATATATATATATATATGCTACCCCCCCAAGACCTACATTTTGTGTATCAGATATGTCCTTGAATGCCTTGTCTTCCTTCTTATCTTATCAGCTATTGTAGCACTGCATCAGGAAAGTATCTTGGGCGCATGCGCCAGGACACATCCTGCCCACATATGTAGCTGCAGCATAGCGCTGTAACATCTATATTTGACATATTTATTTCATTATATTTCATGTTTTCTTTTTTATGTGCTCAGACATTTTTAATATATCAACACGAATTTTATATCTATGATCTGATGCTTGCAAGTCTGTTTTGTCAATATCTTCTACAACATTTGAGTTTTTTACATAACCTTTAGGATTTGCAGCAATATGATTAGGGGAATAGATGGATTGAGATTTTGTTATCTGCTTTTACAACAGAATATAGCATATCATGTTTCTCTTTTTTGATGAATACAACTTCTTGTAAGGTAGTTTTTTATAATGACTACTGGTGGAATTCATGTTTACTAAGTTTTCTGTAGCAATTTGAAACCTTTTAGCTTCTACCAAAGCTGGGCTTTGTGCAAGATTAGATGATATAGTGCATCTAGGGTTTTTTCACTTTATCTACGTAAGATTTTGCAGATAATAAAGGTGTAAAAAGTACAACAGATATGTATAAGACCGATCTTCAGTTATAATTTTTAGACATTGATTTTATAATGCAATTACCTGTTTAATCCTCCTACAATTTCATAACATTCCATCAAGCTTTGCGTAGTAAATTGACGATAATCAATCATATTCTCATTTCATGTTAATTGTCTTATTTGTTCTTGTGAATCTACGTTATTTCCGTTAGTTTTGTCTTCAGCATCTACTGTTTTTGTAGAAGAGTTGGATTTGTTTGCTGTAATAATTCATTTTAAAAATCTGTATAATGCATATGATCTTGTGATTTCACTGCATTAAATCCAGGAATGCTTGGGTTGGATATATTACTTGTCAAACAGAAATGATTTTGATGATGATAAATTAACAAGTAAACAAAACTAGATCAGTCTTGAATATATTTGTCATATGATAAATTGTCTTACTTTTTTTATAGTTCTTAACTTTGTGATATTTTTTTGGTATTATAGGAGTTTCTACCATTGGGTGAATATGCATGTTTACTCCGAAAGATCCTATGTTTTGATTGGTTCTTTTAGCTCTATATTCTGAGGATCTAGTTCTAAGTTAATCATTTTGAATCTTGAATATGCGTATTTGTTCATATTGATTTGTTTGTACTGTTTAATGATAATATTCTACCATTTTGCGATGTGAACTTTGATAGCATTTCAGGGTTTTTATTGGCTATTACCTTTTTTCAAACATAAATAGCAACCATGTTTTTTTCAAGAACGCTTTCTTTGCCGATCTATCTGTAACCCTTTCTAATACATTTTGCTGGGAAGGTTTTGATTGATCTGTAGATAAAGAGGTATTGCTATCGGATGAGTTCATGTATTTTGATTATTATTGTTTATTTTTTCTTGTTTGTTAAAGAAATTACTGTTTAAGATTGCAGCAGGTTCTTTTTCAATTTGTTGTACTTTTATTATGATGAATCTAATTACCTTTATTGCATTTTTTGTTTTTCTTTATTTTCGCCAAAGTTGATTAGTTTGCTTGGACAGCGAAGAAAAAATAATGGGCTTTAGAATTTCTTTTACAGGATAAACAAGTTTATTTGAGGAATGTCCTTAGCAAACAGGCCGATCATTTGCAAGAAATTGCAGTTTCTGGTGACTAATACTATTCCAAGTATCTGGATTCAAGATTCAAGATTCCAGGCTCAGAAAAAACTTCTTCAATCCAACCTCTTTGGATTCAAGATTCAAGGCTGAAGGCCTTCGGATTCAAGAATGTTATGTTTTTTGGGACCTTGAATCTTGAATCCTACCCCCTTGGATTCAAGAAGTCTTTTTGGGGGATCTTGAATCTTGGATCCGATGTACTTAGGGAAGGGTGGGATGGGAACAAAATTGCAAAACATGCAGTTTTTGATCACCAAAAAATGCCCTAAGTTTTAGAGTCCAAAATGTGAAGAAAAACACTATAAATTAATACCACTAAATTTGCTTGAAATGTAGGTCTTCGGGGGGGTACCATATATATATATATAGAATATAGATATAGATATATATATAATATATATATATATATATATAAATAGATATATATATATATATAATATATAGAATATAGAATATAGATATAGATATATAGGGAACATGATGATAAACCAGCAATTGACGGGTACCCCAGCGTTGAGGCCAACAAAGCCAATTCATGGCCCTGGCGAGTCTGTACTCTGTTGGATATCATGTTAGGGCTAGGCTTAAAACATGGGTTATCCGTTCAGTAATGGGAATCCTTATGCAGTCGTGATATCTCATTTCATGATTGTATATCGATATATATAAGATATATATATATATATACAGTACATTATATGCTGTATAAATCTCTATTAATGGATTGATGACGGTTCTGGGTATACAATCCAACCTTTGACTCGACTCTTGCGTGAACTCAGAGGTCCATAATGACACAGCCCAGGGACTCTGGTGGTGGGGTCAATGCATCTGAAACTATGGTGACCCATAATATGGGGTATATATCATTGGAAGGCAAACTAGCCTGCGGTGTGGGAAGTTTCCAAGTCTGGCACATACCCAATTTTTTGATTCTAAATGGGACTTGAAAACATGGGCTGTAATCACTCGAAACTCCTCAGAATCAGAGCAGAAATCAGCTTCAATTACAGTAGTTACCTTGATTTTTGAATTTCCATGACTATCCATGAAGATCCATGGATCGGAAAACCTGGAAAAAATGGCCCTCAGCACAGCGCCTGTGGCAAAGATGCAGCGCTCAGCCGACGCCTCAGGCATCAAGGCGATCAACGATGGCCAGTGGTGGCCCTGGCTGAGGCTAAAACACGGCTGGTCCAAAGGATAGTAAGGCCATGGCTACCAGGACCTGCACCAGAAAAAACTGCACACCATTTTTGCACGGAGCCCCTGGGAGAATTTCGATGAAGTTCTCGTCTTAGCGATTCTTTTGGCAGGAAATCCCGAAGATATTCCCGGAGTTCTGGACATGCCCGTGTTGCAGGCGACCCCCTAACCAGTTGCAGGCAATCCTAATCCGAAGCCCGACTCAGACCATCTACTGAAATTTGGCTGCTGAGAGGTGCTTGGCATCACAAATCTTCATGCCAGTAGTCAACCCAACTCCAAAATCTTCAGCCCTAGCCATCTCTCCACCATGTCCCAACCTTCAGAAATTTGGGCTTGTGCATCAGCCACTCAGTTGATCCCCTTTAAGCTGAGCCATGAAGAGTTGTCAAATGGAACAGGAACCAAAGCCACCTGCGGCTGTATCAGAAATGTCTGCGTGGAATGATGGATTGATGGATTTTTTGTTGACACTACTCGACTAGACATGTTCATAAAATAAAGTGGCTGAGCCTTCTGTGCCCTGGAGTTGTGGGCTCTTTCTGCATGAACCTATGTCAATGTATCAAACATCTTCATTCAAAGAGGTCCACACAGCAACCATTTGGCAACTGACATCCTGATGAACTCATCGGCAACTACTGGCAATCAATAGATGCCAGACCGGAACTGGCGACCGGGACGCAGTACCTTTTCAGCTTAGCTTCAAACTATTCAACTTTCTGCTGGGGTGAAACACACAAGAACATGTGTCTATGAATGGGCGTGTCCCCAAATGGGTTTGCCCTCTTACTATCTTTTACTCCGACTCCAGCATCTCATAAACCAACAAAAGCTGTGCTGATTTTATTCAAAGGTTTGGAGAAAAGGCGGGAGTGGAGCCTCGCCCTCTGAGACAAAGCTATTTACAGCCGCTGGTCTGCCAATCGACCAACTAATTTCCTGTGCGGGCCCTCTTCCTCAATTTCCGCATCATCTGGCAAGCGTCAGGCAAATAGATCCCCAAACTTGCTGGAGGTTCTACCAGGGGGCCCATGTCAATCTTGATCATACAAACAGGGGCGAAAAACGGATGGGTCCAACTACCAAGAACAAACACTGCAAGAGTTTGGAAGAAAGACCTTCCAAGGGGTCCCGACCACTCTGGTTGGTGATTTAAAGCCCCTTTCAAAAGAGCCTGGGTTAGATACCTCACTCTATCGACTGAATTGGAAGCAATGGTGTTTGTGAGAAAGATCTCAGGACAAGAAACATGCGAGGATGAAACACTGCATTCCCTTTTTTTACTCTAGCCACCAGGAAACGAGAAATCACCACCACCCATTAAAACTTCTATTACTTTACCTATAATTTCAAGGTCCATTGAAACTTCTAGCTTCAGCTTCGAGGTCGGGCTGAAGCACTTGGTGCTTTCATCAGGCGGATTGTTCGAGTGGGCCAACCCCCAATGAAACCAACCCTGGTCGTGCTTGAGGGATCAACAAAACGATCCCAAAACTACGAGTAGCAGTAGATTCCCCAAATGATGGATTAACCAATGGAAAAATAAAACGAACTTGAACAAAGCTGAGAAATTAATCCATGGTTGTGGTTTGCATTGACCCAGCCTGTTCATCTAAGTTTGCCATCGAGAGGATATTTTTTCCGCCCCAGTTCTATTAAAGATACATGGTTCAGATTCACCCTTATGGTTGTGGTTGTTGGTGATAAAGAACAAGCACCGACAACAAACCCCTATTTTGGGGGGTTCACCATTGGGAGCTGCTTGCCACATTATACTGCATTACTCTATATATACATCCCCATTGTATATCATTGTATCTCAGAATATCTCAGAGATCTCCCAATAAAGATCACAAAGTGCTTGGTTTTATAGATATATATATATACTAGTATATATCCCATTATACCCCCCATGTTTGGTGCTTCAATCCGCTCAAAAGGCGCCCGGCGCCGCAAGGCGCCATGACAAGGCCATGCCAGTGCGTCCAATCCGCGTGATCTCGACCCTCGATTCGCGGGTTTTGGAATTCGCGCCATAGGCGATCGGTTGGCACCTCAGCAACGGCTGCGGCGCTGTAGATTTCTGGATGCTCCAAAATATGTTTCTGAAATGTTGAGGAAATGTCATAATATGTCATGTCATTCTAAATGCACAAATGTGTGATTGTTAAATGTACAACATTGTACAACTGTACAACTTTGTCTGATCATTATCTGGAATTATCTAGCAATTCATCATTGTGTCATGCAATGTGAATGCATCATTCTACAGATATCATGACTAGTCTTAGATTCCCTGCAAAAAAATGAAACACCTTGTTTTGCTGTTGCCTGGTTATTCTATTTCTCAATCCTGGCACAAAGAAGCACCTGCGATTTTCAAACATACCAAGTTTGACCCAGAGATCTTCACGGCCAGCAAGGACGCTGTTACTTTCTAAACTTTGTTTCCGGAAAGGTCCTGGCAAATGGGAATCTTCAGGGTGTTGTCAAAACCTGGAATTGGATGCCTTGAGACCCACAAATGGACTGGTCATTTTTAAGATTTTAAAGGGCTAAAGTTTCTTTTTCCAAGTAATTCCAAGAATAGTGTCCATGGTTTTTTACGTGTCCGAGTTACATGTTTTTTTTGGAAAACATATGGAAAAGGTCCAGGTCCCTTCCGCCTCAAGTGGTCTACGCCGCCACTGTCACCTTTGAGGCCACTGACAATCCAACTCCTCCGTGCCGCCTCTGGTCGAATCATGGGAAAACAGCCCAGATAAATCGTTCAGAAAAAGATTGGAACACTTATTATACATGTTACACTTAGCTTGTTAGTATTTAATACATATTATATATATATACTGTATATAATATATAATATAATAATATAGTAATATAATAATATAATAATATAATTATATATATAATATATATATATATATAATTATATATAGTTATATGTGTATATATATAATTATTTATACGTAACTTATACATAAACCAGGTGTGTGGTCAGTGTAAGTCCACGCTTGAGAAAGGTCTGATTTCAGGCCTGGTTCTATCAGCGGCGCCCACTTCGGCCTTGGATGTGTGGGTTTCCCCTCCAGTCATCAAACGTGAAAATGGAAAATGCCCCGTTTATAGATAATTTCCCAGCTATAAACCTCGATTTATGGTGGATTTTCCTATTAAAACCGCCATTTTCATGGAATTTCATGGGTACTTCAAAGCTGATTCAGCTATACATGATGGAGAAAATCCATTACCCTTTTCGACTAAAAGAAGGAAGCAGGGAAAGGAAACATCAAACCCAGACAATCTGAGGGTGGAGTGTGATTGTACTGTGCATGCTCAACTCCTTCATTTGCCACTCAATCATCAATTTCATGCGGTCTTTGTCTCTGTGTGTGTTCTTCTGCGAGTGTACAGTCGACCCTTCAATTCGGCAATTGGATTATCCCCGGAAGAATGTGAACAACAAATGATACAAATGATTTCATATCCTCCATATACATGGCTGCATGCAATGTATCAGAAGTTCATGTGGTAAACTCTCATGCCGCTTCAAAAAATAGTGGGGTCTACGGGTCCACCTGGGTCTGAATCACAGACTCCAGGGACGCAACGTTTCCCCACACCTGGTGGCTCACAACGCCATCATTTCTGGGTCCCTTGCTCGGGCATTTGCTGCAAATGGAGACGGAGGACCCGTCTCTGTACCTCCAAAATTAATTTAAAATGAATGCCGTCCGGAAACCATACTCAACTTATCTGGTTGTTGGTTTGAAATCATCCTGTCTGAAATTTCTTTCCATTTCTAGGCATTTCTAGGCACAACGTCTTTGAAATCACCGACCAGTTATGAGGTGCCCGGTTCCTGTCTGACCCTGTCGACCTACACTGATGCAGCCGCTGCAGCCGCTGCTCCCTCTTGCCTCATTGAGCAAAGGAGCGCCAATGCCCTGAATCCAGCTGGCTTTTTTTCCCATGGTGCCAGCCATGACATCGAGACATGGGGGTCAGAACGAGTTCAATTGTATTGTGCGGCTGTCAACTTACCTTGCAATCACAGGTCATACCTACAGGGGAATATCATGGAATATAATATCAGTATAGCTTAACACAGATTTTCTGCGAAGGTAGGCAAGCTCTCTAAATTGATAGGATCTCCCAATCATGAGTGCAGTGGTGTGGAGGTCTCGCTGGCAAACTAGTTCTTGAGCTTTGAAGTGTTCTGTTTGTTGAGGCTTGTTATTGGGTCTTAAGATTGGCTGTAGCACCTCTCTCAGCCGATGAGAGACCCATCGCCATGCATCACATCGCATTCCTTACCTCACAGCGAGCTCCAGAAGCCGCAAGAGTCGCAAAGTGTCGCCTCGCAAGGAAAGGTGGTGAACGGTTAACCACTGAAGTGTCCATAAAAATTCTTAAACAGTAAAGTACGTGGATGTACCCACTTGGCAAATTTTCAAGCCATATTCACATACATCACGTAGTAATTAATTGGGAATGCAGCCCAACAGTACCAAACTGGCGGCGGACAAGCTGGCCAGCTTTTTCTTGCTAAGTTTCCAGCTGGGCTCCCACCAATGCTCGCTTCCAAACAAGCCTCAGGATATGGCAGCTTTGGCAGATCCACATTCCTGAATCACCCCTTAAAGGAAAAATGCCCCTAACTGCCACGTATGCCAGGGCTTCAAGGCTTTTTTCGCCACCTTGCAATAGAAAACCAGAGTTTGCCCATCTCAGGTCTCATGTCAAATTGCAGCTTGGTCTTGGGGTAGAGAATACGAACTCTTCATCAACGCTTCTCCCCCCGCGCCAAAAAAGTCATTGCCGCCATTCCTATCCCCGGCACATTCCTGGCTGCATCTGAGATCAGAACATCTTGAGGCAAAAGTTTGATCTGTCGACTGGAGCCAACGAGGCCACGGATATTCCGCAGCTGCCAAACAGTTACAGTAACGGTGGGGATGCACTTGGGCATATGATACCTTTTTTGGATTCTTACCCCTCCAAGAATTGGGATCTTACTCCAACTTTGGTACCAAGATTATGCTCATCCCTGGAACAGCAAGGAAGCCCCCAACCCAGAACATGATGGTACACGAAAACTAGCTCCATGTCATGGTCCACTCAGCTTCTGGTATCCCCTACAAAAGGAAAGTCGTAGGTGACAACGATTTCTTAGTTTTTGGGGATTCGGAATTGGACTTTTGAGACGCTCAGTCAGGCGAATTTCATTCTTTTTCCGCTTGCAGCACGGTCAGGAAAAGTAACCTCCAGGAAAGGAGGAAATCGGCTACGGGCTTGCGGAAACACTCTGGCATACATATATTTTCACTGTGGAAATGACGTATGTTTGATTTATATATTAAGATTGTTGTTTCCATTGATAAGACCTTCAGTTGGTGCTGTTCATGGATACTTGGATTTGCTGCTCTCACTGAGGGCTTAAAGCTTCTCTGCTCCTGCGACTGCTGTTGGGATGCAGTTGAAGACATCCAAGCAATTGGCCAAAGTTGAAGCATTTCAATTCCAACATATTCCAACAGATTATCATTAAAATTGCCATAATTTGAGGGTATATCCCATTTCAGACCCCATGCCCACCACATAGTCCAGCCCTTTTAAACTATGCAGCACGTAGAGTCTTCTTCCGCTTCAGGAGCAGCATATCCCGCAGCTGGCGCAGGCCAGTTGGGTGGCTCCCCAAAGAGCACTGCCAGGGCCACTTTCGGCTGCAACTTCGCTACAGTAAGCGCAGCAACCACCTAAGCAACCAGTGATAGCTCGCGACCCTCAAAAAGATAGGTTGATAGGTATACTATCCTATGTCAAATCCGATAGTGGATCATCCTCTCATTTGTGGTAGATAGAAAATTTAGACAATGAAACGTCTCAAAGCAAACATCTCGCGTTTTGTGAAAGAAAAAATCTGAAACCAACATAAACCAACCAAAGTCACAGCATCAATGGGGAAGCGTTGATTTGAGAAGCTCGGATGAGATACTGCCTGGCTTGCCAGGTGTCTGGTTTTCTTCACCGCGATCGCCAAATCCCGCGCGAAGAGAAAGGCCCGGCGCGGATCCCAGTCGCAGGTGTCCAGCGCGCTTTCAGCCACGAAAACTTCCTTTCAAGGGATACTGGCAGCTGGGGGTTTCTCATTCAGAGAAAATCTACAGAGGAAGTTTCATGGTTTTTAACAGCAAATAATAGCGGTTTCTATAGGTTGGTGGAAAAATTGTCAGCGGAAAAATGCTAAAATCTTCATGGTGAACAGTAGGGTGATTCCTGTCAATTGTCCTATCATCCTATCATCCAATTCCGGGAGTTTCAACTTGTAAATTGGGGATTTATTGTATACACATATTGGATCATATTTGCATATTGATGATTTATTACCAAGATTTAGTGGGGGTTCATATATATAATTATGTATATTAATGTGGATGTGGGTTGGTCCGAAAATTGGGTATAAAATCACCCGTAATTGGAATGGAATGGGGATAGAATGCAGATAGCATGGGGATAGGGATATTTATAATTAATATGATATAAAAATCAACAATCCTGACATGTAATGGGAATATCATCATGTTTAACATGTTTAATATGTTTAATATGTTTAATATGTTTAATATGTTTAATATGTTTAATATGTTTAATATGTTTAATATGGTTATATAATCAGGTAATAATGTGATACTACTACCAACGATTGCTGGCATGTCTGAAAATGTTGGGAAAATCCAAACCCATCCCCTGATTTAGAAGATCATGTTCCCCTTTTAGTGGCCATGAATTGTGATATCTCCCATTTATGAACAAAGCCATATGTTGGGTCATCCCCCAACCCACAAACAGTGACCCGTGGATACCCTTGGGACCTTCCGGGATTTCTCCCCAGCAACCATCATCACATGTTTAGTTTAAGTTTAACTTTTGAGTTGGCATTGGTCTAGTAGTATTGTTCCAATATTGACCTTCACAATCCAGTGCCAGTGGGTGGGTCGATAGGCCTAGGTATTACGTTCAAATTTGAGTGCCCAAGAATGGGGGTGGTTTACCAGCAATTCAGAATCTGAATGACCCTTCCTGTAAGAAATCAGAACTTCTATCTTTACGGAGCATTCCACACCCATGTTACCCTGTTACCCCACCAGCCTTGGGACTACTTCACGACCCCAGCTAAATCCCCATAAGTATAAGCCCAAATTCAATTCAATGACTGCAAGGCTAGTCATGATTCTTCATGATCATATCCTTGAATTCCCGTTGTTTTTCCACTCCCCCATATCCCTAAACCCCAACCCCATCTCACCTTTTGGGCGCAGTTCCAGTTATAATTGAATACAGAACTTATATATATATATAATATATAATTATACATAACCATCGATTTTTTTCTATCTCCCAACTTCCAGGGCCTAAGAATCACATGAATCATTAAGAATCCCAGGTACTCCCAGGTCTTCATCACCCCATGTTCACCCCATCCCCATCCCCACCTCTCCCTGGTGCAGGAAGTGATCCCACTCGGCGCTGACGCTGCGCCGGATGCGCTGCCGGAACTCCTCGAGCATCTCGCAGGCGGCGTGCGGATCCTCGTCGTTGCGTCGCAGGACCTCCAGGGCCACCGGCACCGAGCAGCGCGGGAAGCGACGTCGAACCTCCAGGACCTGTGGAGTTTAGAAGCAGCAACGACCGGGGTTTTTTGATGGGATGGGATGGAAATGATGGGGACATTCAAATCCTGGGAACATTGGAAGATGATTAAAATATATTTAAAGTAGGTACTGTTCTTTTTTTCCGGAAACAAATGAACATGAAGTGCAAAACTGTTTCAACTCACTGTGATGTACTATCATCTCAAATGCCAGTACAAGAATGCACATGGCTAGTGGAAAGTCAACTGTCTCTAATGAAGAAACCAGCCATTGCCGAACATTGCCGAACATTGCCGATGGCCCCTTGCTGCATCGGCCATGTCCCACCTTTTTCGCGCTTTGTACTGACCAGGTCTGAGTTTGTTGCAGAAACTTGGCAGCATGTTCCATATTTCCTTGGTCCCAAGAGGCATCTGTGCAAGGCAAAGTTTAAACTGTTGCACTGCCAAAATTTGCCGTGGAAAACGTTCAGAAAGGATCAAGGATTTCTTAATCTATTTGCAGGTAAGACATCCAAACAGCCATCGTGAAAGCAATCACAAGAGTTGCGAACCACACAGCCCGCCAAAATTGTCAATGTGGTTATAACATATGCAGAAATCCTGGCACTGTCAAGTATTTGTTTGTCTGAGCTGATATTAAAACAATACCTTCAATACCGATTTGACCAGGTGATCACACCTTCGAGTCATTTCATTTCATTTCTAGTGTTCACCCCGCAAATGCCAGCTTGGATCACCACAGGTCAAGCATGAACTACCCATTCTTGGGCACCTCTCCTGATGTTGTTGGTTTTAGTTGGTAGAACCATCTGAATCCCCTACTTCGGTTCCTCAAAACCAGATGTATCTATAATCTATACATATTTTTCCATTTACCCTCTGGTAAATTAACATAGCTATGGAAAATCACCATTTTCAATGGGAAATTCCACTATTAATGGTCATTTTCAATAGCTATGTTAAATTACCAGAGGGTAATCCATGTTTGTCTCGATTTCACAATATGTTTCACCAGGTTTCACCTGCCAGCCAGAACCGGGCCTATGTTCAACCAGCGATTGGATGTTTTATGATTTTTGCACCGTGATATTCACTACTTGGATGTTCATCCTAAGCCAGACAAACTCGGTTTACTTCATATGTTTATTACCCACGAACTGGAAAGCCACCTCCAAGGATTTCGCAGAATTTCCCCCATTAATCCAACATGGTCAATCCAAGATTTACACATCAAGCAAATCATCTTGGCGAAATGAATCACCATCAGAATAAAACATATTTGGACCACTCTTAACTCACCAGTGAATCACCAAATCATCAGAATACCTGAAGTATTCACATGGATTTTCTCGGATTTTTCCCACCATGGATTCAATTGGATTCATATGGCTATGGGTCAATACCTATAGATACATTTTTAGTGGGATGAACATCCATAAATCCCAGCTATTTTGGGGGTCACCAGGGGTACAAGGTTTTGACACATCCCCATATTTTGCTGAGTTATGACCATCGATGTTTCTCCATGGATCATCCCGATCATCCCACTGAAGAATAAGCAAACGGATGTCAGTGGTCATTCATTGGGTAACAACTGGTTAGAAATGTTCAATTGGTAATATATATATATATATACAGTGCGGCAATTAACGCACACACACACACAACAGTGCCCCAGCTTGCTCACGCAAACTCGCATCTCAGCTTTTCATGCCCTGCTTCACTAAGTACAATCTGCTGAACAGCAGCTTTTTAAAGCAGGCTCGCATAAGCGTAGCCCATCTTTCGCCGCTTCGGCCAGATCATTTGCACTTCCTCCTTGGTCGGTTTCACCGCCGCAGGAAAAGAAACAGGGTGTGCCATAAAAGAAGCCAGGGCTGAGTGTAAATGTGAAACATCCCGGGAGGTCCCGACAGACTTGAAGGCCCCCGACCAGTTGTGGCATGCAAAGCACTCTTTGTGTGCTTGGGAAATTTGCCAAAGCCAAGCCAATGGTTCTGGCTGCCCCTCTGCAGCTGTCTGCCTCTGTTCTCGGTACTTCTGACGCAAGTACGACTTGAAGCGCCAGAAGGCGAAGACGTCCAAAGGCTGGAGTAAACTTGTTGTAGATGCTGGTATATATAGTAATTGAAATCCATGTCGCTTTGCCGCTACTAAAATAGTTTTCGGCAGGTGTGGGCACGCGCAGTCCCACATTATGACTGGTGAGATGCCTGCGAGAAAAGGCATGAGCGCCTTTTTCACGGCTTGTAAAATCACCAGCATGCAATCAGCTGTGACCCAAGATGACTTGCCACGAATGATTTGCAGCTGCGTACGAGGCAAAGCGTTGTACGCTCTCAGCAAAGAGCTCGGTAGCCAAGTCTGGGAGCTAATCAAGAAATGAGGAAGAAATGGTTGTATACTTGGATCACTGCAAATCAGAGCGCGGTATGTGTAAGCGCCGCGCCGGCGATCCTTTCTGATCTTCATGTGTGGCACTTCTGGATGTTTCTTCCAATGCTTCGCGTTTACTATGCACCCCGCCCCCGGTAGTGGGGAATATGCTATTGAAGTCTCGTCAAAGTTGATCCAAAGAATCTTGCCAGTGACCTTCTCGGTGATGTAGGAAATGCTCTTCCAGAAGACATTGATCTGCCATGGTCGGAAAAATCTTGCAATGAAGTCTCACCAAAAAAAGACAAAATTGTTTCCAAATGCGGCCCCAAAATTGAGACCGTTTTTGGGCCCCAAAATTGCTTCCCCCACTTAAACAAGACCACAATTCGGGACTCCCAGGCGGTCCCAAAAATAGGACCTGACATCCAAAGTTTGCAGGCCTTCTGCTGCAAGTCTTCCGGATTGATTTGGCCAATCGGCCGCAAGCGCCCCCTTCGCACGGCCCAACGAGCACGCCATCGAGCAACCCATTTGTTCACAGTTCGTTTATGAGGCCGCCCACTTGGAATCTTACAGGCATTGCAGGATTCAAAGCGGCTAAACACTTCTGCTGCACACGGAGCCACGCCGTTGGCAAGGTTCTGTGCATGAACCCAACGCCAAACCTCCTGTTCCCCAAGGAAGACGCGAGCAAATTTCAGAGCCCTTGCCCAAGCCATGTTGGCTTCGTCATGCATGCAAAGAAGATCGTCTAAATCAATATCCAAAAACAGTTGCCGAACCAAAGTCTTGCTGGGGAAATTCACATCTGCTGGGGGTAACGTTGACAAATGTCTTGCAGCTTCCTCCGCCGTCGCCAGATCCCACGAAGAAAGCATGTACACTGCCAGCACCCTTTTGACAGCTGTCACTGATAACCCCCCATGTTCCAAGCGCAGCTTGTTGCGCCGTGCAGCTTGCTCACAACTCCGCAAGCGCAACCTGTTTTCATGCAAAGAAGCTTTCAATGCCTCACAACGCTCCGCTGCTGCCATGGCGTGCCTTTGGCCGCGCCCGGCCACAGCTTTTAGCAAGTTTCCATGTGTATATATACCCTTGCCACACTTGCGTAGACATGAAAGTACTAGAAAGTACAAGTTAACATCATATAGATCATGCCTGTGTGTTTTCCTGCGCATTCTTGACACAGCCTCTCATGGACATGACAGAAACCCCTTCGCTAAGAGGGTATAGCCAAATGTCAGCGAAGCAGAATAAAGAATCACGCTTTGTTTTCAGCTACATCTTCTTTTTACGACCAAAACAGTTGACCCTATAGGGAGCCATGCGTTGTGAACACCTTATTGACTGAAATAAACAAAGTTTGGCCAGATTAGTGGTCACACTCTCCCGCCCAGATATTACGGCAAGCATGGCTGGGTCTCCAAAAACTCCTGCCAAGACAAATTGAAAAAAGCGGCGAGCGACACACACACACACACACACTGGGGGCCATACTTCGGAAGCCTCAAAGCAGCACAGAAAGCGGTCTCATTTTTTGGCCCGCGCAAATTGACTGACCAGCAATGCCATCACGCCTTCAGCAGCATCCTGCGGCGAGCAAAGATGGAGCATATATTGGATTGCCCGGACAATGCGCTTAGTCAACATGGGGTTACAACTCCTGCTGGGCCAATCACAAAAACCGAAAAGGGATGCATCTTCAAGGTAATGGGTGCTTCTCTGCACAACACATGAAGCTCTCTTTTTTGGGCCCGCAAAAGTCGCACGAAAATTCAAAGGCATCGTCCATCATTGCCTCAATCTCCTCATCACAAGGCCATGGCATGAGAGGTTCCTGCAATGCAGCTGCGCCAGTTGCGACAGAAGCAGGAAGATTTCCATCAGGAGTGTTCTTGCTCGCAGCAGCTGTGCCAGATTCGGCTGAAGCAGGAAAATTTTCACCAGAAAAGCTCGAAGAACAATCCTGGCGCCACTCACACCCACTGAAAACATAACATTGGAAACGCCCATCCAAAGGAGGCAGAAGGTCCCAAAGCACTAGTGCAGACATCTCTTATGAATTCAACCATGTTTGATAACATCGCATTCAAAACAAAATAGGAACATGATTATGCTGTTGGCCTCCTTTGGATGGCCGTTTGTAACGTTCCGTTTTGCATGGGCCAGCCGGTCCTCGGACTTGAACACCTTCTTCGAACACTCCACCCAGACTGTGCGTCTGTCGATGGCACCCTTGTGGTTGGGCGTGAAATATTCCACTGGCCAGAACTACTTCAAAGCTTGCAGAAACGTACTTCCCAGTACTACTTTGTACTACAAAGCTTGCAGGAACGTACTTCCCAGTACTACTCTGTACTACAAAGCTTGCGGAAACGTACTCCCCAGTACTACTTTGTACTACAAAGCTTGCAGGAACGTACTTTCCAGTACGACTTTGTACTACAAAGCTTGCAGAAATGCACTTCTTTGTACTACAACTCTTGCAGGAAATGGGAACACAGGTTCACCAAATACTGCGCCTGCCACGAAAAATGACAATCTGAAGCATCCTGGAATCAGCATGAGATGGCCAGTTCCAATGCGATTTACGATTTGTTAGGAAAGCATGCGCGGCCAAAATCGAAGCACTCCCCGCACGAAAACCAAAATCATAACGTTGGAATCCAACGTTACGATCCGTTTTTGGCGACAGTTTCACAAAAAAGTGGAAATCATAACGTTGGAACGCGGTTTGAAATAGAATATAATATTCTTTTTTTGGCCGCATCCAACGTTACGATTTCGACTTTTGTCCCACACCTGCCACGAAAAACAAGCATAACGTTGGAATCCAACGTTACGATTTCGGCGTTTGTCCCACGCCTGCCACGAAAACTCGGACCAGAGGCTCACCAAATACTGCGCCTGCCACGAAAAGAGCAATTAGGGGCTTACCAAGTACTGCGCCTGCCACGAAAACTGGGACCAGAGGTTCACCAACTATTGCGCCTGCCACGAAAAATGGAATTAGGGGTTTACCAAATACTGCGCCCACCACGAGAAGTGGGACCAGAGGTTCACCAAATACTGCGCCTGCCACGAGAAATGCATTTAAGGGCTTACCAAATACTGCGCCCACCACGAAAACTGGGACCAATTCGTGGCAAGCTGGAATCCAAGATTGATTGCAAAATTTCGAACATATGAATGAAACCGGGTGCCTTTGTCACACCTACGGCTGATTTTTGCACACATGCACACACCTGACCTCATTCCATATCTGCTTTGTGGCGGCCTTCAGCTGCTGCTTTAAAACCTGC